CTTCGATGCCCAGACGCTTGGAAGCAGTCATTAAACATAAGGGCTTAGCCACAAAATATTAATTTATGTTTAAAAACGGTTATTTATGTTAATTTTAAGTATTTCTGGTTAGGTGTGCCAATAATTTTGTTCAGGCGAAAACGGCTGTTTTTTTATATTTTTAATTTTCTTAAATTAATGGAAAAATATAAATGAATGAAATAAAGTAATTTTAGTAGGAAATTGATCAATGTATAAAAATAAAATTTGTTTTATTTAAATATCACCATATTTCACGGAGAAACACTGTGCGAAAGTCAGACATGTCAACTGTGCCAATAATTTTGTTCGTCATGTACATACATGCATATTTCATACTGTCATACTCGGGTAAAACCCGCGGAATACTCGAGTATTACCCGAGTATAGCTCGCGCAATACCCAAACAATACTCGACAAATAACGGCACTATACTCGTTCGATCAAACGCTCATTCTGCAAAGTCTGGTTTGCTTCGATCAGTCATCTTAAACGAAGTGACCAATCCTGAAGTGTTTGAAAGCAAACCAATCAAGACCGGTGCTTGTTCGTAAAAATAGAAAGATTACTCATGCAAGTTCGATCATAAGAAAAATGCTGAGAGTACTCAACTCGTTCGAGCTCGTTTGCAGCCAAGCAAAGATCTGATTTGATTGAATTTTCAGCAAGGGTGGTCGAACATACTTGTTGCAGTTCTCTGATGTACACCAATAACAGGATAACAAGCAAGCATTTATTTATTTTCGATCGTTGAAAAGTAAGAGAAAGCTGAATATAAAAAGTTTGCATGAAAGTGATAAAAGTGCAGGCAGAAGAACACAAAGATGAAACGCCAGCTGTCAGCATAACAACAGGCAGAAGAAGACGCGGAAAGGAAGTTCAAGCGTTTAATGTTATTTCTGCCCACAGCTGTTGTTTTAATTGCTGCTTGGGCTGAACTCTATACCGCGCACATGCGCGCACAATCAAGGCGGTGCACCCGATGGATGAATGGTCTTTATTTTTAAAAAAGGACGTTCAAAATTATGTGCCTGAATTGTTTAAAACAATTTATATCTATAACGCGTGGATACACTTAATTTTCTACAACTTCTGCACATTCTAATCCATTATCGTCTATGTCAAAATTGTCTTCTTAATCACCCTTTTCACCCGACCTATTTTGAGATGTATTAACCTCTTCAAGTACATACCTCATGGAAAGAAGTATATATGCATAGATGTTTATACTCTAAAATGTACAAGAGTATATTAGGTTTGCGGGAGCTGAAAAATGTAACAGGCAGAAGGAGGCGTGGCAGAGCCCACAAAGTATATATATTCTTGATCAACATGACAAGACAAGTAGATCTAGCCCTGTCTATCTGTCCGTCCGTATGAACACCTGGATTCAGAGACTATAAGAACTAGAGACACAAAATTTTGCACAAAGATGCCTAATGTGTGTACGCTATACGGGTTTGTTTTATTTTTTGATTCCCCCTTTGGGGGTTTTCCGATTTTCCATTCGTATAATCGCCTATATCTCGTCTTCAAATTTAAACCCCAAAATGCCTTATGTGAATACGCAGAAAATGTGTTTTTTTTAATTCCCCTTAACAAGAAGTTATAGTCATAAATATATTTGCTGCCCGCAGATGTTGATGCTGATGCTTTGGTTGACTGCAAACATGCTTACACAGACACGAATAGACGCGCATAGACATACATACACTCACATAGAGGCAATTGCTTTCTAAATGTGCACACACACTTTACGTGAGTTCGAATACCGAGAGAGGTAAAATCAATAAATTTTTTTTTTTAATTTTTTAATTTTATAATTATTCTAATCATATGTACAGAGTATTTTAAAGTCGGGACATCCGACTTTAGCTTTTTTACTTGTTTTTAAATAAAAGTATTACAAGCAAACGAACAAATGAAACTATATTTATACCCTGTACCCAAAGGGTAAAAGGGTATTTTAGTTTTGTGCGAGTGTGCATGGAACACACAGAAAGAGGCGTGGCAGACCCCACAAAGTATACTAGGTGGGGTGAAAAGTAACCTCCTTGACCACCAAAATGCGCTACTATCGATAAAATGATTATGGGGCCTTATAGTCCATTCATATTTAGGTATCTCTGGTAAAATTCAGCTCGATGGAGCCCTTAGTTTTTTTTTACAGCTGATAATTTTTGATGCTTTTGGCAAAGTGGCGACCATGGAAAAAAACGATTTTCGTTCTCTGATACAGCATTATTTTTTGAGACAGAAAACAGCAAAGGAAACGAAAGAAAAGATGGACAAATATTATGGGGCTTATGCTCCTTCAGACTATACTGTAAAATATTGGTTTCGAGAGTTTCGTGGTGGCCGAAACTGCACTACTGATGAAGTGCCTAGTGGCAGGCCCTCCGATGCGGTTACTCAGGAAAATGTCCAAAAAATACATGAAATGGTGTTGGCTGACCGGAAACCGGCACTGAGCGAACCCGCCATATTTTGTGAGAGGTTCTGCATATGAAAAAGCTATCCTGCCGTTGGGTGCCGCGCAAGCTGACTTCAGACCAAAAGTATGAACATGAGCACACTTCGAAAGAGTGTTTGGTGATGCTGGAGCGGAATCGGGTGGACTTTTGACGTCGATTGGTGACAGTTGATGAAACCTTTATACACCAGAAAGCAGAATGAGTGCCCGGCAATGGACTGAAGCCGGCACGAGTGCTCCGAAGCGGCCGAAGGAGGCTCAATGGGTCGGAAAGATCATGGCGTCAGTTTTTTGGGATTGTCGTGGCATAATTTTCGTGGACTATCTCGAAAAAGGGAAATCAATAAACAGCGAGTATTACTGCTCATTATTGGAGCGATTAAAGGCCGAAATTGCTGCGAAACGGCCTCACATGATGCGTAAACAAATTTTATTTTTGCAGTACAATGCACCGGCACACAAAAGCATAGCAACCATGGCAAAAATAACCGATTTAGGACTCCAAGTGGTTCCTCATGCACCTTATTCACCCGATTTGGCTCCCTCTGATTACTATCTATTCCCAAATGTCAAAAGATGGCTGATACATAAAAAATTCAGCTCGCGCGAAGAGATCATTGACGCTACAGAGGGTTATTTTGCAGACCTTTGGGAAAACTACATTTCCGATGGGATAAAAAATGTGGAAAATCGCTGGATTAAGTGTATAGCCCTAAAAAGAGACTATATTGAATAAACTAAAAAAAAAAATTTTTTTTTAATTTTTTTTCATTCCCAAGGAAGTTACTTTTCACCCCACCTAGTATATATTGTTGACTAGCCGAGTCTGTATGAACGCAAGGATCTCAGAAAGTATAACAGGAATCATAACCAAACCCACCCCCCCCCCCCCCCTAATTCTTGAAATTTTGAACTAAAATTTGGTAGTCACATTAAGTTAGTGATTATATATCCGATGATAGGGTGATTAAAAAGAAAATTATAGCCATATATACATATGTACACGTACACAAACACGCATAGACACGATTCTGATGTAAATGTATATATGCATGTATGGAATATTTTATATTTAATTTTGTTAATTAAATTCATTTCATTTCTTTTTTTGTGGGGAGGTACAGGGTTTTTAAGAGTTGAGCCTGCTCGACTTTAGCATTCCTTTCTTGTTCTAATTTGTAGTACTTATGATTAGATACGAAAAATATAACACAACATTTTCAAATGGTGTAAACTTTAAGTTTTTTAAATTAAATAAAAAATAGTTCTTAGGAAAAAAGTATATGTGAGTTTTCCATTTTTGCAACAATTTGTTTAATTCTTGTGTTAATTTTATCGTTATGATTATTTTAATACTTTACAAGGTGAGTTCCAAATTAAACAGGACTTTTTAAAAAAACAACAGAACAAATGGTTTTTTCGGCAAAAAACAATTTATTTTATTCAAAATAGTCTCCTTCTGCTTCAATACAGCTTTTTGCACGATCCAAAAGCATGTCGAACGAGTGTTTTAGCTCGTTGACCGGTATGGCCGCCAGTATGCGGGTGCAAGCCTTTTGAATGGCCTCTACGTTTGCATAACGCTTTCCTTTCATGGGCAAATGCAATTTTCCGAAAAGGTAGAAGTCGCACGGTGCCGTATCAGGTGAATACGGTTAATATGGTTAAAATGTGATTTTTGGTTAAATATTCGGTCACAAGCGTCGATCGTCTGAGCAATTTTTGGTCGTCAGTCAATTTGTGCGGAACAAACCGTGCGCACACCTTTCGTCCCAAATGTTCGGTCAAATTGCGATAAATCGATGTTTTGGAGATGTTCAATTCCATTTCCATCAATTTCATTGATGATTTCGGCTAATTTTTGATGAATTCACGCACAGTTTCGATGGTATGTTCGGTGATCACGAATTTTGATGGGCCCACATGTTGATCGTCATTTATGTCCTCATGACCACTTTGAAAACGTTGAAACCACTCGTGCACTCTGCTACGGGATAGGCAATCATCGCCGTAAACGTGTTCCATCAATTGAAACGTTTCGGTAAAAGTTTTACCTATTTTAAAACAAAATTTAATGTTCGCTCTTTGTTCGAAGCTCATTTTCGCACCGATAACACAAACATACTGGCACTTTAAACGCAATAACTTCACTTCCAATTGATGAAATGTCATGAAATTCTCACTGGACAATCGATAAAGGTTACAGATTCTAACGCACCAGTCGACATATAGATAGAGCCACCAGGGGGCGCTAGATTCAAGAAGTCCTGTTTACTTGTATATATTCTTGATCAGCGTGACAAGACGAGTCGATCTAGCCTTGACTGTCCGTATGAACACCTAGATCTCAGAGACTATAAGAGGTAGAGACACCTACGCTGTGCAAGTTTGTTTTATTTTTTTTGCACAGGCACACGAGACATACACAGGCACACACATACACCTATAATTATTCTACACATATGCCCAGAGTATTTCAAAGCCTACAATAAATAATTTTTTATTTCAGGCTTCTGAAACAACCTATTGAAAATCAATGTCTGTTGAAATGAATGCATCATTTCACTCGTATTCGGATATCCTAGCGGCTCACCAGCAAGATTCTCCTAGTCCGGAAAACTTTACTCCAGTCATTATTGGTTATAGAAATAATATTTCTACTAAAGAACTTGCTGATAGTAACTCAAACATATCTGCATCTCACTTGTCGTTCATGGATGAATCTTCAAACGACTTCATTAATCAACAATTAGTTCATCCGAGTACTCCAATTAAAGTGTGCGGAGGTTGCGGAGGTAAGTCTTTATTATGTTAATGTAGGTTAAAATAATTAAAAGTTGTCTTTTCGCTTCAACGGTTATATATTTAAGAATTATATTTTCAATATTCAATTTTTTTGGACACAATTATATAGTTTGTTCGTCACGATGCCAATTTTCTACATTTTTTCAAAATGAATTGTATTACGTGTTCCGGTACTGTAATATGAGCATAAAAGTGCACGGACTCCATAATCATATAGATCACTTTAAATATAATTTATGAGATCTTAGGAAAGAACTAGTGAAGAAGATTAAGAAAAACAAGAGAGAAGGCTACAGTCGAGCAAGCCCGACAGTAAAACATCCTGTACTCTCCACAAAAAAAAAAATTAATTATTATAAAAAAGTGAATTATTTAAATTAATAAAGGGATTTTATTTAATACATGCATAGGAGACATGTTTATGTACAGTTTCAACACCATACGTCGTGTCTATGCGTGCTTATATGCGTGTATGTACATATGCAGCACAAAGTTGAACCAAAGGAGCAACAACAACTACAGCTGCGGGCAGAGCTCCATGGGCAGCGATTTTATTTATGGCTAACTGGATGTAACTACCAAAATTGATTTCAAAATTCCAAGAATTACGGAAGTTATAAAAAAACACGAATTGCGGGGGAGTGGGGGGGGGGGGGGGGTGTATCGAAATAAAAAAAACAATCTTGATACCAAGTTTGGTCATTCTAGCTCTTGTACCTTCTGAGATTCTTGCGCTCATACAGACAAACGGACATGGCTATATCGACTCGACTTGTCACCCTGATCAATAATATACTTTGTGGGGTCTGCCACGCCTCCTTCTGTGTCTTACATACATTCGCACAAAACTAGTATAGCCTTTTACCCTTTGGGTACAGGCTATAAAAACAAAGGCTAGTGTACATTTACCGGGTCGATTTTGAGCGGTGACCGTTAGATGCGTAGAAGTCGATTTTTGGGTCTGCTTGGCGGTATGAAGTTTGAACAAGTTTACAAGTTCGAACTTGTCGCAAAATGTACTTACACACAATCTTTCCGGCACTTTCCCTATGCAACTTTGAATTGTCAAGTGTTGGACGCCGATGAGTTCGAATTAACGTTTCGTTTTGTTATATAGCAATGATTTTTTCGTTCGAATTACCAAGTGCACAAAAGTTATTGATTTAGTTCGAAATATAAAGAGATTTTGTAGGGAACTCGTGATAACTTTGAATTATAGAGAGGTTTGAATTAACGAGACTGTATTTGCTTAATTTAAGTTCGAAATTCCAGGAATTACGGGTGTTATTAAAAATTACTAATTGCGGTCAAGAGGGGGAGAGATGGAAATTCCATATTCACATAAGGCGTCTTTGTGCAAAATTTGGTGTGTCTAGCTATTATAGTCTCTGAGATCCAGGTGTTCATACGGACGGACAGACAGACAGGGCTAGATCGACTTGTCTTGTCATGCTGATCAAGAATATATATACTTTGTGGGGTCTGCCACGCCTTCATCTGCCTGTTACATTTTTCACCTCCCGCAAACCATTCAAACCAATGAAACAAATAGACACAGAGTATTTCAAAGTCGGGACACCCGACTTAAGCTTCTCTACTTGTTTTCGATAACTACCGTAATTTTCAGAATTTTTGACTCCAATTTTGCAAGTACTTTTATTTAGTGATTATGAGTCCGTTTGCCAAATTTTATCAAGATAGGCCGGAAAGGAAGTTATAGCCATATATGGGCTCTCTCTGCTCAAACGCTGCCCGCAGCTGTTGTTGTGCTCTGGGTGAATTTTGTGCTGCAAAATAAAACATTTAAGCGACTGACTTGAACTCAATGCCGTTTTTTATACCCTGTACCCGTAGGGTAAAAAGGGTATATTAGGTTTGTGCAAAGTATGTAACATACAGGAGGAAGCATCTCCGACCCCATAAAGTATATATATTCTTGATCAGCATGACGAGAGAAATCGATCTAGACATGTCCGTCCGTCTGTCCGTCTGGATGAACGCAAGGATCTCAGAAACTATAAAAGCTAGAATAACCAAAGTTGGCATCCAGATTCTCCTAGGTCCGAGTAAGGACGAGTTTTTTTTTTTTTTAAATTTTCCCCCCCTTCCCCCGCTACAGAATTTCGTCAATAGCGTCCACATTTCAAAAGCTACCTAAACCAAACTTTGCACACATAATTTCTATACAATTATCTACTGTTGTTTAAAATTTATTAAATTCGGTCAATTCTAAGAAAAGTTATTAGCAAAACGAATTCTCACCAGTACAACCCCCCCAAACTGCAGCAACAAGTTCGCTCTTCTTCTTCCTCTTTTTGCTGCTGCTATGGGCGCATATAACTCAGTGACGGAAGTTTACCTGGGTACAGGGTATTACACTGTCGGGCTTGCTCGACTGTAGCGTTCTCTCTTGTGTATGTATATAAGAAAGAAACCAAGACCAGTGTCAATCCATATCGTGAGGAAAAAATCCAATCCTCAAGAAAGTTATAGCCATGAATGAAATCATTGCCCAAGCTCTGCCTTCAGCTGTTGTTGCTGCTTTGATTTATTCCTGTACTGCATACATATATACTATATATATAAAACAGTTTGTCCTGACTGATTGTTTGGTGATCAACGCACAGCCCAAACGGTAAAAGCTAGGAAGCTGCAATTTAGAATCAAGTAATCTTTCATAGCGTAGGCTGGCTGGTAAATTCGAGTTCTAAAATCTACAATTTTCACCTGATCTATTTCAAACTTAGTTTGTATACTCTTACAAAAAGTAAAACTGTGTACTTGGTTTTTTCAACCGATGAACATAAAACGTGTATTAAATTTGTTCTTGGATACAAAATTATTGGGGCTTTCTTGGGGCACAAAAGGAAACCGCGTCAACAGCCCACAACCCAATCGGTAAAAGCTAGAAAGCTGAAATTTGGGCTGAAGTAGGATCGCACTAAGAAGGGATTTAGGTAAATTCGAGCTCCAAAGTGTGGAAAACGAGCTCCAAAGTTTCTTTGAAAAATCTTCAGTGTTTCACCGATGAAATCAAATCTATAAAAGAATACAAAAAAACTGCATACTCGGTCTTTTTTAAAATTTGAATTATTGGGGTTTTAATATTTCTTCACTTTTTTTCAAATGAAAAGTTTGTGTTATAAATGTTGTCCGATCGATTTCAAATTTGGTATCCGTAATCAACAAAACTATATCTACAAATTGCCATTCAACGATTTTCGAAATATAGAAATATGTTTTTTACTTGCCATATGCAGCAACATCACATAAACACACACACATACACAAGCTGAGATGGGCAAAGTCGGTACTTTTTGTTTTTCGTGGCACATCGGTGCACTGCGTGTACACGAGTGCGTGCTTCATATTTCAACTTCGTGCGTGTTCGTGTTGATTCAATAAAGCACGAAAAGGCACGAACGTGAAAATGCGATAGAAACAAAAATAACTCAACCAAAATATAATTTAAAGTTAGGAAATACTATTCCGGTTTTTTTGCACGTCTATCTTAAAACGTTGTTGTTTGTACATACATGTAATTTATTGTTGAAAAAAGCAAGGGATTTGCAGCGCATATCCAAAAAATAACAATGTTAATTTGCACAAAATAAATTAATATTTTATGAAAAACTAATATCATGTACATATATCGGTCCTTGGAAATTGGACTACCATATACATATACATTTAATAATTCGATTTACAAAGAAAAATTTGTGTATCCATTCACATGGCATACGTATTCGTGTATTTATACAGCCAATTACGTGGTCGCGCTGTGACGGGCCGAAAAAAGCCGACACATGCCCATCTCTAGCATCTCAGCTGATTGCAAGCGCTTGTGTTAAACGGTTGCGTCAACTAACAACGCTACAAATGTATTCTGTAGAATTCTGGGAGACATTAAGCGTTAAGCTTATTTCGTGAATGCATTCTTGCGATTTACAAAAGCAGAAACACGCCTTTTACACTCACTACATTCATATTCAAAACACACATATGGATAAGTGTTGAACTGTACAATTGAATACATACACTTATATGTGTATATGTAAGTATGTACATGCATATGAGGATAGATAGCGCCTGCATCAAAAAATAAAATGTACATACAAGTATGTATGTACATATCAACGTTTCCAGACGTCCCGATTTTTAAATCACAATTAAATATCCCGCGGACAGGCTCAAAAAGCTGACAAAGTGTAGGTGAGCACCAAGAAGTGGTTTTAGAGAATTAGAAATCCGATTAACTTTAAACTTGGTTTATGTATTTACTTTGGGAAAGAATACAGAATAAACTGCTTTGTATTTTTGTAACCTTTCATTAAAGAGTAGAAGAAATAATTATGACATGCAAGGTGCGTTCGAAAGTAAACAGGACTTTTTGAATCTAGCGCCCCTGGTGGCGCTATCTATATGTCGACTGGTGCGTTAGAATCTACTATTTTTATCGATTGTCCAGTGAGAATTTCATGACATTTCATCGATTGGAAGTAAAGTTATTGCGTTTTAAGTGTCAGTATGTTTGTGTTATCGGTGCGAAAATGAGCTTCGAACAAAGAGCCAACATTAAATTTTGTTTTAAAATTGGTAAAACTTTTAAAACGAAACGTTTCAATTAATAGAACACGTTTATGGCGATGATTGCCTATCCCGTAGCAGAGTGCACGAGTGGTTTCAACGTTTTCAAAGTGGTCGTGAGGACATAAATGACGATCAACATGTGGGTCAATCAAAATTCGTGATCACCGAAAATTCCATCTAAACTGTGCGTGAATTAATCAAAAATCAGCCGAAATCATCATTGAAATTTATGGAAATGGAATTGAACATCTCCAAAACATCGATTTATCGCAATTTGACCGAACATTTGGGACGACAGGTGTGTGCACGGTTTGTTCCACACAAATTGACTGACGACCAAAAATTGCTCAGAATTGATTATTTGACCAAAAATCACATTTTAACCATTAACCATTCGCCG